CTGATTCTCTGTTGCTCTGCAGTCTGTTGTCACTGGACCCATGCAAAGCAAGTGCCAACCAAGACCAGCCTGGAGCCTGACGGGATTTTACACCTGCTTTGTACAGAGGGAAGTGCCTGCAGAGAAGAGAACTAGGCCTTGTAGACTAGGGGCAATGCTTTAACCAGAGTGACAAAGCAGCATTATGTGGCACAGAACAAACCACAGCACAGTGATCACTGCAGGCAAGTGACCTCCCGGCTACTGATCCTCTGGGAGCCTGCAAGAAATGTGCCACAAGAGCCCACCTTCTCTAGAGGGCAATGCAGCCTTTCCTAGGAAGCACTGTTGTGTGTTGTCAAAGTTCACTTCAGTGGCTAGGCTAACAATCCTCACCTAGCTCTAGGGGTACTGGCGTAAGGGGTTTGGGTTGAAGTGCTGCTGTTTTCAGTATTCCTGAGGCATCTGTGGCTCTTGCTTCTTCAGGGTCTCTGCAAAACTAAAGCAGCTGTGAAGCTAAATCTCCTCTTGGCTTTGCCTCTTCCATCTCCCCAGCCGCAGTTATGTGTTCTCGTCACTGGCCACCTCGGCTGTCTCCTTCGCCACAGGGGCGCTGGGCATGTGGATCCCCCTCTACCTTCACAGAGCACAGGTGGTGCAGAAGACGGTGGAGACCTGCAGTTTCCAGCCCTGTAGCACCAAGGACAGGTGAGGCTTATCTGCTGTTTTGGAAAGTGGCTGTCTTACTGGAGGAAACTTGAAAACCCCAGGGATCTTGATGTGAGAGAGTGAGACACAGTTACAAGGATTCCTGTAACTTCTTCCGGCCCTTTGCAACATGGAATCACTGGAGTTTAGGTTCAGGATTCATATCCCTTTTAGCATGAACCTGTTGTGAAGCCAGAACAGGCAACCAGGAAGGTTGAGGAAGAAGAGGCGGCTTTGCAGCAGAGGCACAGGACAGGGAAACAAGAGGTCTGAATGCTTTACTGTCCCTGCCACTGATCCCTAGCATGGTGTTGAACAGGATCAAGGGTTCTCTGTCTTGGCTTCCCAACCTGTAAGATGTCAGTCCACACTACTTTCACAAGACAGTTTTCATTGATTCACACTGAGAAAAGCACTATGAGATCGTTGAATGGCATGTGACCTGCTGTGATGTCAGAAGCACCATGTTGGCTCTTGCTCTAAGATTGAGCGGAAGGTGGTTGCAGTAGGGATGATGTTTACAAAGGCTGCAGGAGGATGGGCTAGCATGGGGAGCCTGCCATTTGGCATGGGGAGGCCAAAGTTCAGGTCTCCAGTTAGTTCCTCTCCCCTGCGGCTGGCAGGAAGTTAGGGTTTTGCCCCTGTGCAACATCTTCCATTAATGGGTTACAGAAAAAGAAAAGCTGGTTGCATCAGTAGTCACTGCACTACACGATCTTTATGGGTGGGAGAGACCTCAGACTTACCGCCGAACATTGGAAATTGACTTCCCTGTTGTTCCTTTATTTGAAAGGTCTTCATTTAAAATTTGTCCCCATCTTCATCTTTAATATTCCTGTAGTGCTGACCTGGGGACATGGAAGAGATGAGGGGGAGCTCTGTGGGTAACAAGCTGAATAAACCTCCATGCCATATCCTGTAGGAGCTTAATGCTGAAGCATGTTAGGAGATCACCTTCCATCCTGAAGGGATCCCTAAGCATTCTGTAGATGTAATTATCTTTCAGTTACCAATAATGTGCTGCCTCTCCTGAAGCAAAACAAGGTATTTGGGAAGAATGCTGCAGAAGTGGATAGCTGCAGTGGGAAAAGGGTTGGAAAGATAGTCCCCTTCTAGCCTAGCGGACTCATCTCAGAGTTAACACACACACTGAGCAAGAAAGGATTTTGTTTCCTTGCAAAAGGTTTTGATGAAAGCATGGTTTTGTTTCTCATGTGTGTCAGCTCCTTTTTATCTTTCCCAAATCCTTTGCATCCACTGAGAATTTGATCAGTTTTTCAATGAAAACCTGATCGTGTTTCATATCCCCCTTCAATAATGTTTTATTTGAGTATGTTTGACCAGTTCTAGTTACTACTCCTCACGTTCATGCAAACTGCCTTGCAGTTTTAATGGCCTGAGGTTCCTGCTTCCCTAACTTTGCGTTACATTATTTAAGGGGGATCCTCCTGGAGACCTTTGACAAGCTAGTAGGTTTTACTACCCTTGATGTGTGCACATTGGGTAATGGAGGAGAGTGAGAGCTGTGATGAAACGTGACAGTAGAGGAGGAATATGAGGTTTGGATCCTGTGGGCGTTGCCCATGCAGTACATGATTCAAAGCTCTGGCACTCTTTTCAGAGATGAGTTCCTCTGGGGTTTCTCTGTTTGTTTGTAAAATGTTTCCATTTTAGTGCAAAACTCTACAGCTAACTCTCAATGTTTTGTTTTTAATAGTTTGATCTTTGGAGCAATCACATGCTTCACAGGCTTTCTGGGTGTGATCACAGGGGCTGGTGCAACCAAATGGTGCCGCTTAAAAACACAACGAGCTGATCCTCTCGTCTGTGCTGTGGGCATGCTGGGTTCAGCCATCTTCATCTGTCTGATCTTCGTCGCTGCTAAGAGCAGTATTGTGGGAGCCTATGTAAGTATGGTCCACAGTGAAAACTGTGAATGGGCAGGGACCATCTTGCAGGTCCCGCCTGACACCAAACCCTCTAGGAAGGAAGCGGTGTTCTTCCTTGCACAATCTGGGACTGTGACACTGGTCTTGTGCTTTCCTCTCTTCTTGATGCTCTTTTCTTTTCTCGTTGCCATTCTGAAAACACACTGAGAGATGAGACTGTTTTCCCTGTGCTCACCATCCGCATTAGAAACTCACCAAGTCGACTATGTGAGATTCTGGGGCTTAAGTTTATCATGGGCAAAAAGTTGTACGTTCCCCTCTGTGGTTAGTTTTGACCACTTAAGGGGCTATTGTTCTTGTCTAGCATTTTGATGCAGGCAAATATGAGATCTCCCTTTATCATAGGAGGGCTGTAATTGCAGCACGGCACATGGTAGTTACAGTACAATTACACTCTGGCACACATTTTGTTGCCTGTAATTACTATACTATTAACTCGCATAACTGAACCACTTTCTGGATTACTGGGAATCATTACAGTGTGAATACAATGTATTATTAATTGTATTACCATAGTAGTCAGGAGCCCCTGTCAATGACCAAACCCTCGCATTTTGTGCTGTACAAACATGGAAAAAGATGGTCTTTTCTCCAGAAAGCCTATAATCTAAATTTACAAAAAGAGACAACAGATGGTCCAGATCAACAGACAGAAGAGCACAAGAAAACTTTGACAGAATGCATGGTAATGCCACCGTTGGGGAATCTTGGTTGGGTGAACCAGTGGAGTAGTTTGGTGAACCATAGTGAAAAGTATTTGATTACATGGTGAATGCAGAAAGAGTATGACCAGATACGTTTCATATGGGAACCTGAAAAAATTGAAAGTTTTGCCTTTCCCTTGTATTTTCATTCCCCACGATCATAAAATCATAGAAAATTAGGGTTGGAAGGGACCTCAGGAGGTCATCTAGTCCAAGCTCCTGCTCAAAGCAAGACCATCCCCAACTAGGTTGGACTTTTCTTTCCGAGCCCAACAGTGCCTAAGCTGGCTTACAAGAGACTCCCCTTTGCAATCCAGTCCCAGGTCTGGATCTCACGTGTTGCACCAGAAAATCAAGATTCAGTTCCATGAAGCCCAATCCAAGCTCTCTTGAATGCTCAACTCTGTGCTTTCTTATACAGGGCAGAGATGGTGTGCTTCTGAGAGGCAGTGTGGGAGGACAGGAGTAGGGCCGTTTGGGAGTCCTCATCTCGGAGAATCCCAGCATTTTGCTTCTCCTGCCCATAGCAGGTCAATGCAGTGATTCAGAACTCTGTTTTAAGTGAAACGGGCAAAGATGCAAAATAGCCATTTCTAGTCCACATAGATCCCTTAGCACTAGAGGTAACTGGCCTTGATTTGTGTGTGCTGGGGCTGCTGTCACTGTCCTTATATGCTTAGAGAAGAAAGTTTAAAAATAAAAAATCCACAGCAGCCACTTGAAAAGAATCAGAAAGAAATGCAATTCATGGGAACAATCTTTGGTGCAGTGAGCACCAGAAAAATGACCATGCCAGGGTGCTTGAAAGAGCATGTTCTGGGATGGCAAAGCATTCACCTTCTTTTATTTTTAGCTGGCTCTAAATGATGATTTCTGCCACCTCCCTCTACCTGCCCCTAAATTTAATTCCTAAATGCACACAGACCCATTTTTCTTATCTCCCATACCTGAAGCGGGGAGGAGAGAGATTAAATTGACTGTGTTGTTGTGTGTTGATTCTCCTCTTTTCATGCAAAAAACTTCCCTTTCCAATCTTGAAAGGTTTTTCTCCAAACATTTCAAACGAAGGGTGATCAAATATTATGCATTCATTGATCCCATTTTAATAATTTCCTAATTGTTTAATCTCTTGAGAGTGCTACTTTTAATCATATTTCTGTGTAGCCTTTTGGACATTGTCACATGTCTATACAAGGATGGATGGAATTATTAAAACATTCTAAAACCAGTTAATTTTACAAACCTATAAACAGTGAATATGTTAGCCGGTCACTTAGCAAAGTTGCAGAAGTCATATCTGTGTATGGAACAAAAGTAGAGGATGCAGGTTTGCTTGTATTGCTGTTGTGTTTCTTCAGGTAGGTGTTAACAGTTAATACTGCCTACCCCATTGCCCTGGATGTTACAGCTCCATCTCACTTCAGTCTTAGCGCTTGTAGAGCGGTGATAAAAGATTCGAGATCGTCTTCTAGCTAAAGCACTGATTTGGTAGCCAGGAAATGGAAGTTCTGTTCGTAATTGGCACAGCTCCTCTGTGTGTCTGTGAGCAAGCTGCAGCCCAGTCTTGCAGATACAGCAGGTGGCAGCTGTGTCCCAGACCCAGGGCCATTCCTAGCCCTCACTAGGTTCAAGACTTGGGGCTTTCCGGTGTGAATCTGACAGTCTGCTAATCGTTGGTCCCAAGCAGTTGCAGTCTGGTTTGAGCTCCCAGGCTGTCTGGGGCTGAGTCCAGCAATCAGCTGATTGCTGGTTGGGCTCCCCCAAGACAGCCCTGGGACCCCCCAGCTGCCTACATGGCTTTTAGAAGTACCGGGAACCCTGGGTCCCCAGGACTGGAGAGCCTCTCTCCCATCCCATGGTCTCCATCCTCAAGGATGTCTAAAAACCGTGTGGTCAGCCTGGCTTTCCGCAGCCCAGCATTTTAAAGTCCCTTGCTGTGCAGGCTGTGGGGCTCATCAACTGTGCTATGGGAACTGGCCCAGACACCATAATAGAGGAAGTGGGATCAGTCATGAAGCTGATGGGGAATGGGGGAGTAGATAAAGCTGATTTTAGAAACAAATGAAGGAAGCTTTCCATCCGTGCCTGCTAAGACTTGCTAAATAAGGCAAGCTGTTCCTGGCAGTGACCAGCTAGTCAGAGGAATTCAGGGAACTTAAACCATTGTACAATCAAAACACAAGCCATGGTCGCATTAGAACCAGAATACGATATACCCCTTTCTCCGTGTCCCCCAACTCCCTCCCACCAAAAAAAAACGTGTGGACAACACGAACAAGGCAGATGAACACTGTTGGTTCCACTGGGCATGTTGCCAAACCTTTCCTTCCTTCCTGGAGACCATCACAACTCGAGGGGCAGTGCAAAACAGTACGCTTCCAAAGTATCACTCCAAAGCCCAGTGCACTGTGCAATATTTACAGTTTTGGACTGCATCTAAGGCAGTGAAGACTGTGTTTGTGCGTAGAAAGAATTGAGGCAGTTAGAAGATGAATTTGCACCAGACCTAAGAGAACACAGATGAACTGAATTTAGAAATGCATTGTTGGCTTTAGCCTCCACAGTGGTCGGTCCATCTCTTGGCACTGAATTTAGTGTTTTAGGTGCCATATCAAAAGCCAAGTGGTTGGACAAAACAAAATGAGCTTTTTTTTGTGATACCCTAGCATGCTTCCCTCTTTGAATAGAAAGTCTGCTTCCCTCTTTGAATAGAAAGCCAGTCTATCAGCTTATCCGAAGGGTGTGTTGTCTACAAACCACGTACTGAGCAGTGCCTGGACATAGGTAGATGCTTGTGTGTCAGCGTTGAATTGTGACATATAACACTGCACAAACGTAGAGTTAAAACAATGGTACAAAGCTGAATTATAAATAACTGGCTCCTTCCTTTGTGCGAGAGGCAGGAACTCTCCGCAAGACATTCCAGCCTTGTTTCTTTGTGTGCAAGAAAATCTGGGTATAGTCTCTTGACCATTGAGCCACGGATTGAATTGGCCATAGAGCTTAAAGCCCTAGTTCTGCACAGAAAGTGTTGGAGTGCTCTGTTGAGTGGTCTGGGTCTACGTAATTATGTGGTTAGTTCTCCGAGGAACTGGTGCCTAACTTATTACTACAGACTCCAAAATTTGTCCTCGAAAGGAGGGACAGTGATCTATATGGCAAGGGAATCTTGCCTTCCCACTGCCATACCTCTTCTGTGGTTGGTTAGATGAAAGTCATCCTCAGTTTGCTAGTTAAGACTCAACTAGCTACTAGTAATGAGCTTAATGTGGACTTTGCACCTTTTCTGACTCACTGATTGGCTTTTTGAGACTGCGTTTTTAAACGTAAAATCCACTGAAGATATCTGTTCAGTTTGGATTTGTTATGTTAAACTACCACTCACGACACTGGCCTTTCATTCATCAATTTTCTAGCATGTAAACCATGTTTGTGAACAAAGATGTAATCTGAGCCCTCAGAGGTTAGGTAAAAATGTATCGATTCTCTCTCTCTCT